TCCCGGCACATGTCACGGAGAGAAAAAAGGGGAGGCAGCCCGGGCGTCCAATTCGTCGATGGCCCTGTCACTGTCATATCCATTCTCATTACGGCGTGACATTCAGGTACACGCTCGCACACACGTTGGCTGGCTGAATGTCAGGCCGTAATGAAAGTGGATATGAGCGAGACAGGTAATTCACTGTCGAACCTCTGAAGACATTTGAAGAGAAGTGGGTCGGCTTCATTGTGTTGGGTTTGTGTTGATTTGTGCTTTGCATTATTCACTCCAGTTATAAAGACTCATTTAGCCCTCAGCTCCCTCTGCGCCGCGTTCCATCAACATTTTTTTTTTTTTCCACATGACACTTAGAGGCCCACTCGCACGTTATCCTGCCCTCGCCGCACACGCCGTCGCCACGGACGCACACAATCGCTCGAGCACATTCAGACAAGGGCTTGAGTAGAGCGTGAGAGCGGTGTGTTGAACTCTCCGTCAGCTGTGGTGAAGAGAAGCGATGGATACGGACAAAAAACATAAGATTAGATTAATCACAGGATGATGTTAGACAACGTATAAAGAGCTGGATCCTCCCAGGAGCGAGTCACATTAGGAACCATGGTCTTAACAAAGTTCTGGGTACCCGGCGTGTAGTACTTAACGGAATACTGGAACCTTTGTGGAAACAGGAAAATGTCCGAAACATTCAGGTGAGGCGTCGTCAAAAGCTTTTAAATCTCATTCTCAATAACTTCCTCTCCCACGTCCACTTTTTCTGGACATTCTTAAATTGGACGTTTGCATTCTACATACAGTCCCTCTGGAAAATTTCAGGAACACGTCTAAACTTCAGTTCACGGCGCAGTTTGTGAATCTCTCCGTGTTTTTCTGGCGTGTTTTTTGGAACATTAGGTCAAAGCAACGTGCACAGAGAACTCCCGCCGCTAACACAGCCTCCTGCTGTCCCGTTAGTTAGCGGAAGACGACATGGTTTGACATTTAAAGGCTGCGTGAGTGGTAAATAAACGAGACGGAGAAGGTTCACAGCACATAAACTCTCCTGAAAGCGATGTGAGATTGATTTTCAAGGTAAACCGACCAGAGCTTATAAGTTCAGTTTGTGTGAGTGCTTCTAAACATCTTGGGAAAGATGGGAAGTGATGTGTAATGCTCTCTTCGTGGTTCTTCTGCGAGATTCGGCCTCAGGGAGCGCGGCAGCGTTTATTGGCTGAGTGCAGTCGTGGTTAAGTCTGGAACTTCTGTCTCGGACAAAAGTTTTTTTTCCGTGTGCGGACGAGGTCAAACCGCAGCCTTGAAGCAGGTGCTGAGGTTTTTCTCTTTTCCAATAAGCTGCAATTACATCATTATAAGTTTGGATATCGTAATTACACCAGAAGCTTATTGCTGCGTCCGCAGTGTCATTTTGAGACCACAGGTTGTCATGGCATCGTGTTCATCTGTCAATCACAGGCGGAGTGTGATACCAGGAAAACCTTCAACGTTTCCCCCTTTACTCCTGAGGAACATTTAATTGTCCGACTTTGATCGTGACCCTGTATTGCTCTTTAATCACCAGTGTGGCTTTTATTCATCCAGGCTCATAATACCTCAGTAACAAAGCTGCATTTATCAAATTAAAAAAATAAAATCCTGGTAACTGGACAAGAAGAGCTCAGCAGAAGCAATTATATCTTTTGTATATTGATTAGTAAAGCACCATTCACTGCGGCCAAGGCTGCTCTGTAGAGTTCAAATAAAAATAAAACAAATCAAGTAGAGAAAATAAAAGTAGAAATGATCCGAACAATAGAACTAGTCATCTACAGCCTTGGTGAGCAGAAAATAATTATATAACTGCACTTAATATTAACATTATAAATATATATATGTTTGTACATAAGATTTAAACAGTTATCTAATATAAGGTGGGGTGACGTGAGGCTCCAGGGGGCGCTGTTGCTCAGTGAGGCTTCGAAAAGTTTTAAAGAAATCCAACACAAGTTTTGCTAAAGAGACAGTCGACCTGTTAAATGATAAAAAAACACTGACGTTAATATGTTTATATGAGATAAAGACGTGAATCTGCATTTTAGATTCGTCCGATAATTGAAGACAGAAACAGACGTGTTCCCTCTGAGAACTTTATTTTTGTTAAAGATGTGAAAGCTGCGCAGCTCGGGTGAGACTCTGTCTGCAGATAAAAAAAAATAAATGGATGCTTCACCACCAACACAGAGTTAATGACATGTTATTATTAAAGAATACGAAACCAGAGACTATTTAAGACGAAACAGAAGAACAGTGTTCATGGCTGTAAATGAGAAGTCCTCCGCTGAACGACACTCTCACCTGTTATTATTGAACTCACTGTATTTTTAGGTGTTAACAATGTGCAGGAGACTCGTGAAGTACATCCAGAGCCAGAGCCATCACATCGCCCCCTGCTGTTGTCGTTCAATAGCGGCCAATTGAAAACAAATCAGCTGCGTTACAGATTTAGTTTTAACACAACATGAGGTATAATTGAAGAGCAGCAGGATTTTCCACAGACGCACATCAACACAAACACCTATAAAACATCAGCGAAGAGATTCATGGACGATGACGATCTGAAACGATCGCAGTACAAATGTCGGAGATTTCAATCTGTTCACAGTGCAAACAACTAAATTCACGTTTTAATGAGGATTCTCTAGATCTGGTCTCCTTCAGAATAAAACTCCACCCTGTGTTCCCCGGGTTGGAATCTGTCATTTATTTTAGAATGACATAAAACCGAGATATAACAATAGTCCAGATCTGTAAAAAGCAGAACTGACGATGAAAACTACTCTTGATTATAAAGTATAAATATATCTGAGGTAAATACTTCATCCAGTTCAATGTCGTCCTTGGATGAATGTAAATAGGATTTTTCATTGGTCAGCGATGTTGTTGTATCTGTAGTCACGCAGCGTCTGATGAATGAAAGTTCAAGCTGTTACTAATCTGGGATGAATTATTAAAAATGCCCCTCTGGTGAAATCAATCGTGATTTGTTTTCTTGAGTGAAACCAACCGACGGCTGGAGTCGCCACTTTCTCCGCTCGTCTTCTCGTTTCAGGCCAAAGTTGACAAACGGGCCTTAAAAAAAAAATTCGACGTGCTGCTTTAAAGCGGCAGAACCGGCATCAGCGGGCGCAGGGGCCCCTCGTCCCCCGGCCCCTCTCCCAGGGCAGGACTCTCATTCTGGGCTGAATTTCCCCCGGCTCGCTGGGTGTCAGCTGGAGTAATGAGATATTTAGCAGAGCGGGATAGGGAGCTCCCGTCTCAGGGGGAATCGACTGCAGTGTCGAGGCCCCCGAACTGACACCCCCTCTGAATGCAATTCTCCCATCGTCTCCTCTCCTTTATCTGTCAGCGGTCAGAGTAAAGCGGGAAAATGACTGGTGGAGAGGCGGAGTAAATACGGCCGAGGCGTCGTCAGACAGGAGACATGCTCATTCAGCTGATAGAGTCGAGCCCCGGCCCCACACACACACACACACTGTGAAAAACACAACCTGCCAGGATGTTGCTTATTTGTTTTTTTTTTTTACTTCCTTTATTTTTCATCTTATTGCAAATTTACTATCTGACTGGTCGTGTCTTATTTAACTAATATAAGAATATGTAAGACTCATCCCCATCGCCCCCTGGTGGCTGAATGCAGCATAAAGATAAAGATGGACGACATGTCTCCACTTCCTCCTGTTGATCGTAAAATGATCTGGGATATAAACATGGAGGAGGCAGGAATTATGATGTATACTACAGCCAGCCACAAGGGGGCGATCAAGATGATTCTACCATCACGTCTTCCATCTTTATTTTCAGCCTGTGTCCAAAAAAACACCTGATGAAAGACGTGATCCATTTAATTAACGTAGCGAGCTCACACGATACACACATGCATGCAGACAAAGTCAGACACACACACTTGAATTCTGACTGTGCTGCTCTACCTGTAAAATAAATCCCGTCTCTCCCCCGCTGAGGGGGATTGAGTCTCAAACTAAACGTCTCAATCAAAAGCTTTTTATCCTCCGGTGGCAGATCGCCTTTGTTTCACACAGATTTGCCGCTAGTTAGGCTTTGATTGCAGAGTGTGAGTAACGCCGAGGTGTGATAGATTGTGACGTACCGCCTCGGCTTCGCTGTGCTTCTGCTGCAACTTTAATCAGGTGCATTGTGGGATTTTTTTTTTTTATGTTATAGTTGTCAGTACGAGTGTGTACTAGATGTTTGATATGTTACTCACACACACACACACAGACAGACACACACACAGACAGACACACTTCTAATTGTAAATTTTTCGAAATCTACCTCTTACCCTCTCAACCTCTTCTTTAGCCCTCCCAGTCACTTTATCTCATTTTCTCTCTCTTACACACACACACACACACACACACACACACACACACACACACACACACCAAGTCTTTCTCCGTGCGAGGTGATGAAATAGTTGGAGAACACAGGAAATCTGTTTCTGGTGAAACCATTCTGGACTCAGAGATAACTGAGCCCTTGTGGGGGGAAGACGAAAGCCCCACTGGATTTAGAGTCGAGTTTACTTTGTGACTCCGTGTGTGTGTCCCGTGTCAGCGAGTGTGTGCATGTGTGTGCATGTGTTGGTGTGTGTGAGGGAGGTTTTAATTGAAAATAGATTATTTTTTCTTTACTTTTTTGCTGATGCACAGTTTTTAAAATGGAAATGTGTGTTGATTGGTCTTTGTGGAATCAGTTCTGTAAATCCTTCTGTGTGTGTGTGTGTGTGTGTGTGTGTGTGTGTGTGTGTGTGTGTGTGTGTGTCATCATAGAAATGTCCCATACAGAAAATTGCTTGACTTTATTATAAGGAAACAAAATATTAATCATTATCATTTAATTATATGCCGCCTTTATTTTGAACTAAGTTTCCAGTTCCATAACTCTGTCTTGTGTTTTCTTCTCCTCCTCTTCCTCTCCTCCTCTTCCTCTTCCTCCCCCCTCAGGGCTGCTCGTCTCCCATCGTGGTGAAGTTCGCCGACACGCAGAAGGACAAGGAGCAGCGGCGTCTGCAGCAGCAGCTGGCGCAGCAGATGCAGCAGCTCAACAGTGCGACCACCTGGGGGAGCCTGACCGGCCTGGGGGGCCTCACCCCGCAGTATCTGGCTGTAAGGAGAGCCGCCGCGTCGCCCACCATCATCACCACCTCCTCCTCCACCCCTTACTGCAGCCCCGTGGCCAACGCCGCCGCAGTCAGTGCCCCAAACCAAAAACATTCAACTTGAAAAAGTCCAGAAACACGTCTTTTTCCTCCCCTCTTTCTTCTGTTCTTTGATTTCTGCCACTGTTCCCTCCCTCCCTCCATCCTCCTCCTGAGAGCGCTTGGTGGGGAAATGAGGTCTCTGGATAGAAAGATACATCTCAGTGATTTACCACCAAGGAACATTTAAATTTAATTCTCCCTGCAAAAGTTTTCATTTCGATTCTATTGATCATCGTTCTCATACTGAAATAATCATGTAAATATTACAAATACTACTTATGGAGGTTTTTATATCAAGATCAGAAATAATTGTGATCGCAAACGAAGTATTTCTTTAGTGTCTACTCAATTTTTATTTTGACAGTGACAGGACATTTCATTTTTCAATATTGAACAAAACCAGAATTCATATTCGATCCTGCATCTCTACATTTTGACAATCTTACATAAAACAAAGCGTTAAATTCTTCTTCTTATTATTAGTAGTATTATTGTTTCATTATTTATTTTGACTATGTCATAGCTTAAGAGAATTCCCCCACTTCTTACACTGAACATTTCAAATCCCATTAGAGAAAATATTTTGTTTAAAGTTAAAGATTTTCTGAGATTGTGAAGCACGACGATGGAAACACGGCCGTTAAGGCTGAAGCCTGTTTTCAGAGTAATTTTCCAATAGAAGCTATAATTGTGATAAATTCTTGGAGCTTCTTGTGGAATTAAACACAAAGGTATTTGTCTGGGGGACGCTGCGGGGCCCCCGGGAGTCCGCAAATCCCCCAATTTGCGAGCGGCTGCAGCAGAAGCTCGTCTGGTAATTTGTTTGATTGGGAACTTACTGAGTTTCTTTGTTTTCAGACGCCTCATTCTCTCGCCCTCGCTCCACAGTCCTCAGCCTTTTCAGGACTCGTCTCGTGCAGAGATTTTGGCTCCAACACTCGACTCATCGCTCTTCAGCTTCCAAATTAAGCTTTAAATGAAACGTCTCAAAAAGGCTGCAGGATTTGATTTTTATTTTTTATTTTTTTTATATCCAAACTGCAATTTGCACCTGTCTTGTCAGCAGAGCTCAGACAAACGTCCCGTCTTCACTGGATATTGATTTGTTTTTTTATGGGTACAATTAATAATAATGAGATATAAAAAATAAAAAAAAAAGGTTTTTGTGAATCTTAGATTTTTCAGTCGTCTGTTCTGGAGGAAAAAAAAATTCGCCCGCACACAACAAGATGTTAATTTGTCGTTAATTTGAGTCTTTGAACGATGAGTTTTTGACAGCATCAGTATTCCACTTTTGTTTTGGAATCTAATTAGTCAGTTAGATTATAGCTTTCATGCTCAACTTGTCTGGAAGAATCACGGTGGAACACAAACAGCGTTCGCTTAGAGGAGAGATCAAACTATATTAGCAGCTCATTTACTCATCGGGCGCTGATGCAAAAACCACATCGCTAAACCGCTCATTACGAGTTTAGCTTCCCGGCGTAGCATCGTATAGACACGTGTAAAGCTTCCTGTTTCCACTCAGCTCACTGTGTTTCTCCTTTTTCCCTTTTTTTTTTTTTTCCTGCCTTGTCGCTCATGTTTTCTCTTTCTCTTTTCTCTTTCTCCATCAGTTGCTCCAGCAGGCAACTTCCTCCGGTAACCTGGGAGCCTTCAGCGGGATCCAGCAGATGGCCGGTGAGTCCAAAAGAAAAAAGAAAAAAAAAAAGAAAAGAGAAATCGGTCGATGAACTCCCCTGGAAACACGATCCACTGTGGCAATCCACTCTTTGTTGCACCTCTCTTGTTATTTTTTTTATTTTCACAGACTTCTAAAAAGAGGACCAAAGAGCATAACAGATGAACTCGCGCGTTGGAGTAGGGAGAGATCTTTGCCCTCAAGATTTATTAACTGTTGCTAAGATTTATCTTGATCTTTTAATGAGGCCAGACAAGAGCGGTGCCCTGGGCGTGTAACAGTAACACCGAGGCTTTGTCAGGGATGGATGAATCACAGCGAGGAGGAAAAGTAAAGGCGCCGGAGAAAATGGTTAAAAAAAGTGGGCTGTTGTGGTGGAGACGTTGCACTGCGGGCTGGCGCCATCTACTGTTCTGTTTCTGCGAGGGGGGTCTCTGATCTTTGCATCCGCAGCTTCAAATGAAAATAAGCATATCATTAAAATCTGAGGACAAAAGCAGGCGTGTACAAACAAACTGCACAACAAGGAAGACGACACATACTCAGGGTTCCTGCAGGTTTCAACGCACGAGATTTAAGATCCAGACGTGACGGAGTATCAGAGTCACACATAGAGCAGCACCTCCCTGTAGCTGAAGACGAGTGGGGAGTCTTCATCTTTCTCCCAGACAACCGGAGTTATCAGCTGTCAGTTATCCACATGAGTCTTGTTTGTAGTTTCACTGAGAAAGAGAGAAAACACACAGAGACATGACATGCTGCAGAAACATGTCTTTTTAATTTTGAAGTGAAATGAAAGTAGCTTTAAATTAACGTTAGTTTGGATCTAGTAATATTTCAACTTATTTCAGCTCATGTTGTTTAACTTGGTCAGATCCTCTGTGTTAGTGACCATAGCTTGAAATTATTAAAGATTTCTGCATTTTGAAGGTTTTAAAATTCAATTTTTAATAAACTCTGAATTCAATTTTCCGCCGTTTGAGTTTAAAGCCAAAATTTAAGAATGAAATAAACTCGTTTCAAGACGTTTTCTTCAGAAATGGGTTGAGTAGGAAATAGGACACAAGGAAATAGGAAAGCGAGTGTTAAGGGACGGTGTGAATCTCTTAGGTGAAGCTAATGCAATAAAAGAACACGTATTGTTTTAACCCAGTTCTGTTTTAATTTGAGCTCCGAGCGCTGAGCAAGATACAAATCGGTCTTTAAGAAATAAAATTCAAATTCAGGTAATTTAAGACTTTCAGGGACCCGTACTCTCTCACTCTCTCTCTCTCTCTCTCTCTCTCATCATCTCTTCATCTGTCCCCTCGTCTCTCCTTCCTCTGTTCCCATCCTTCTTTTGCTTTTTTTTCTGTCTGGAAGGTTTCAGCTCTTAGTTTGCAGGGAGACGATAAACGATCTGAGCTTGATGGGAGTTTGTGTCGAGCCTTGTCTTGTGTCGCGTCCCCTCGAGTTTTAAGGCCGTTCACTTTCCTCCTGTGGCTGTTTTTTTTTTTTTTTTTGAGTTTGTTCTCCACCTTATCCGGAACAAATAAATAGGCTGCGAGATTTGGTGAGTAACGGAGTCTGAATCTGGAGATCCGCTCGTCCTCCCATCTGCGAGAGGGAGAGCGAGCATTAGTGATTGGCAGGAGATGTGAGGCAGCTGAATGACATCTGGTCCCAGTCTTTAACACGAGGAGCCGCCGAGCCGAGAGGCTTCAATTACACCAATGAGCATTCAATTAGACGCAGCCAACGCCAGCCTGGTGCAGCCCGGCGCCGCCATACAGGCTGCACACACACACACACACAACACACGCCTCCTCACACACGTATGTACTCACAGTGTCTCACACACCATCTGCACAGCCCGGATACTCTGATGTGGGAAGTAGATTGTATTTGTCTCATTCTGTCTCTCTGCCTTCTCTCACTCTCTTCTCCTCTTCTTCTCTCGGCTTCATCTCTTCTTTATTCCCCTCTAACCCACTTATTTTTTTCTCCTGCCTGCTCCTCTTCTCCTTATAACTGTCTGGAAAATGTATGTTCAATGAGGGAGATAGCCTTTGACAAATGCATGTAGGAATTGGTGTTGAGCCGCTTTGAGAGATGGAGGGAGGAGAAAAAAGAGGGTACATGGAGAGAGAGAGAGAGAGAGCTGCTGCTGCGAAGTCGTCTCTTGCCATCCGTCTGGCGAAGGGAAAGAAAAGAAGTGTGAAGACTTGAAAAAAAGGGAAAGTGGGCGCAAAGGCAAGTAAGAGTTTGGGAACTGGAAGAAAGGAAAGAAAAGTGACAGACAAACTTGGAATGAAAGAAAGGAAGTAGAAATTAAGGAGGGAAAAGCAATTTAGATACGGGAAATTGGAAAAAAGATAGAAAAGGCAATGGGAGGGCAAGAAAAGGAAATGAGGATGAAGTGGGGATGGTGATGCAGAGAGGGAGGAGAGAAAAAATAGAAAGGACACAAAAAGACAATTAATTAAAGGGAAATAAAAACAGAAAAAGAAGGAGAGCAAAGAGGAAAGTGAATTGAGTTAAAGGAAAAGAAGAAGGGGAAGTAACGAGAGATGAAAGACAAAGGACGGGAGGGAAGAGACAGTGACGGGAACTAAGAGAAGAGAGACAGAAAACAAGAGAGGAGAGAGAGTAATGATTAAAAAGAAAACAGGAGTGAGAAGGAGGGGCAAAGAAAGGGATAAAAAGATAAAGAAAAGAAAAAGACATTACGAGAGGAAAAGAGGGAGAAGTGGAAATAAAGGAAAAGGGAAGTTGGGGTGAGGGAAGTGAACCCTCACCCTCCACCGCTCCACGCTGACTACGTGTTTACACTTGAAAAACACTGAAGTGCTTTCAAAGCGTCTGCGTGGGGACGATCCGAGCCTCTGCGGCCAAATCCGTCCAATCAGCTGCTTCCCAAAGCGGCGGAGTGGAAAAGGCCGGTGAAATTAAAATCTCCTTATGTTCGTATCAAGAGCCGTGAAGAAGAGGAGCTCTCGTCAAAAAAACAAAAAACAAAAAAAAAAAGGAGCAGAAAAAAAAGAAAAGTCTGAATTAGTGCGAGATTACGAGCAGAATGCGATGGAGAGAACGACGAGCCGCACAAACAGAAATCCATTCCAGCTTTTTGGGGTGTCACAGAAAATCGGAGAGAAAATGGCTTTGAAAACCAGATTGGTTTTGGTTTCGCTGAGTAACCGCGGAGTCACACTCAGGTGTTCACGCTCGTTACTGCACGTCTCACCTCCTGCAGCAGCTCGACTCCGCAAACCTCAAGAGGAAAAAAAAAAAGATCATTCAGACGCTGGTAGTCGTCGCTGCTTCTGTTTTTTTTATTTTGATTTAATTTACCAGTCAGCGCTGCGATGAACCTGACGTGTGTTGTGATCGGCTGCGGCCGTCAGCCTGGTCGTTCAGGAAGTCTTTGTTTGGATGTGACGACCACGGAGATGGATCTTCTTTGTGGTGTCTTGTTTGTGTGTGTGTGTGTGTGTGTGTGTGTGTGTGTGTGTGTGTGTGTGTGTGTGTGTGTGTGTGTGTACTCCCATGATACTGTATATACATCCAGACTGTATATACGACACACATACCTCACATTGACAGTGTCCACCCTTATAACTTGTTCTCTAACAAACTCATGAGTCAGAGGAAGCTGCTGAGGCCTCATAACGAACACACACACACTCACACACACTCAGACACAAACACACACTCACACACACACACACTGAGCAGATTCACAGTGAGGAGTGTGATGTCGTAGCGAGAGCCTGACTGATCCCAACAGAACGCTGATATTGATTTTTGACCGATAGATTTATAAATAGAAACAATTTTTTTATTTATTTAAGTATAAAATTCGTGTTTTTGTGTTTTAATACGAGGTAATTTTCTGATAGTGAGGTTTATTGACCTCCTGCAAAATATCTTGGTTAAAATCCAGAGGTAGGTCAAATGACCAAAGGTCAAAGGTCACCCAGAGGCACCTGAGGCTCCATTTTAAAGCAACACTATAGCTGTGTCCAAACTCAGGGGAGGACACAGTCAACGTGGCCCCTGAAAGGAAGTGGTGTTCATGCATCCGACATGAGACGTCCTGTTCTTATTTTCTACTTGCGTCACCAGCTTGTCAGACTCTAACCGTAGCGTTAGTCGTTAGCTGCTCTGCACTTACTGCCGCTCAGCCGCCCACGTTAGCGACCTCGTTAGAGGCATGGCGGTGAATCCAGGGAAAGTCCGGCCTGAGAAGAGTCGTTTCTCTCCAGCCAAGTCTTCTAATGCGGCTGAATTGAGTTTATCTCCACTATTCAGCAGGAAACCTTTAAAATATGAGGATTTCTAAACAGAGTTTGGTGGATTTGTTCAGCGTTCAGTGGTGTTTCGGTTCAGTCAGAGCTCAACTTCACCACCTGTGGCTGCAGAGGGCGCTGTTGCTCATTCAAAGTTACATAGTGTTGCTTTAAAATATCGATGTTAACCTCAAAAGTCTCAGTCAGGCTCGAACAGGGACCCAATATTTATTTTTACAAGCTCAACTCAGCTCAGTGACTGAGGAGCAGTAATCACATTTGAAAAAAAAATCAAATCCCAAATAACAAAACCAGAAAAAATAAAATAAAATTTCCGGCCTCTTCCGCTGAGCTTTAATCTCTTTGGAGAAAAAAAACTAAATTGTTGAGTTAATTTCTGCTTCAGAGAAAAAACCCTGAAACTCCAACAACTGATTTAAACTCATCTGGGAATTATTAGTGGAATCAGCCGTTGAGGTGTTTGTCCTCTCACACTGCGCCACAGACGAACACAGATCCTTTCCAGGAACACACGTCCACACACTGTTATCCTTGTTCACCTGCGGACACCAAGCAGCTAACTCATGTTCAGTGACTGTCCCGAGCCGCCAGGTGACCCGGGCCACGCCTCAGCCTCGCTCCCCAGGTTTGACACCACCCTCTTTGGCTCCTCTCTCCAGGTATGAGTGCTCTGCAGTTGCAGAACCTGGCCACTTTAGCGGCAGCAGCGGCGGCGGCCCAAAACTCAGCCAGCCCCTCCACCGCAAACCCCCTGTCCTCCAGCGCCGCCTCCCTGGGAGCGTTGGCCAGTCCAGGTAACGCCGCAGCCTCTCAGGTTGGGGGGCTCCGACGCCGGGGGAGGGGAGGGGGGCCCAAACGCCTGCCTACGTTCTCCGCTCTCCACCGTTGCCATCACCAGTGTTGTCGCCCCACTGTGATCCGAGCACCATCACCGAAACCATCAACCGAAACATAAACCATCATCATTGTTCAGATCCTCGTCCGTGTTGTCGACCCTCTCTCTCTGGTGTGTGTGTGTGTGTGTGTATCCACCCCCATCTTAAAAGAGAAGCCATGCTGTGTTGTTGATGCGCCGCCTACCTGCGTCCCACACGTCACCTCCTCACCACGTGGCCCAACCACCACGCCATCCCGTGATACACGCACTGTACATGTGTGCGCGTGTGCATGTATGTGCGTTCTGTGCTTCAGTGTCTCGTGTGTCGGAACTGTAGGACTTGTTGTTGTTGTTGTTGTTGTTGTTTCACAGCAGTGTGTGTGTGTGTGTGTGTGTGTGTGTGTGTGTGTGTGTGTTGTGTCTCTGCTCATGGCTGTGGGGGGGAGGATGTAAGAACCACCGGGTTGATGTCAAAACTCGATTCAGGTTAAACAACGCCACCTTCAGATTTCTCTCCCTCCTTTTTTTTCCCACACCGTCTCATCCTCTTCTCTCTACTCCACTCCCCCTCCTCTTCCTCCTCCTCTCCTCTCCTCGTGTTCCCTCTCGTTGCCCTCGTCTTTTGCTGCTGCCCTCCTTTTGACAAGCTCCCTGTTTCTGCTCCATCATTCTCCCCTTTCATGTCGGCTCGGCCTCGCTCCAGCAGCCGTGGTTCTGCCGTCTCTTTTGGAGCTCACTCCCAACAGAGCATGAATATGAAGAGCACCTCCCCTCCTCCTTCACACACACACACACACACACCTCCTCCACGTTAATGCTTGCGCCGCTTGCCATCCCGGTTCGCCCGCTCTCCTCTCACGTCTCTTCCTCTCCTCCCTTTCATCCCAGCTTCACTCTCTCTTCTCTCATCCTCTCTTTATGACTCTGAATATCAGTTCCACCTTGAATGGTTCGCTCTCAGGTTGAGCTGCTCGCTCGTGAATGAGCGGCGCTACGCGTGCATGTGTCAGCGAGACTGAAAGCGTCCCACCGGTTTGATATGTGTTGACGGATCTGCACGGAGACGGAGCGGCGTTTCTGTTTTCACTTTGTCTCGTGGCAAATCCTGCTTTGTTGACATCATCACTTCGATGAAACGCTGGAGGAGAATTTTTAGGTCACGAGCTCAATGCACCATTTCACCCACCACCTCTGACATCATGTACAGTACGACACACGTGTCACAGTGGCGTGTGTGTGTGAGTTTGTCTGTGGTGTGTTTGAGGCCTTGTCTACACTACTGCGGATATTTTCCCCTCGGTTTTTTAAAATCTCTGTCCACGCTATCTCCGTTTTACAAAATATCTCTGCAGACAAAAAACAACTACAAACACTAACATAAGCATTTTCGAACCAAGCACCCTGTCATGTTTAATCCCCGTCCGTGCTAACAAGCCTGAAAACACATATCACGTGACCTCTGCTTGAACGTGCGGGTGTAAACAGGAAGGAATGCACGTCCCGCAAAACATGGGAACTGTCGCAGATTGCTCGAGTAGCCGCTCGTCTCCTGCATGTGTAGAAAAGTTGTATCCTTGTAAAATGCAGAATCTTGAAAAACTCTGTGGACGTGAGGCTCAAACAGGAAAAACTGCGACATGCAAAATATCCGCACTCGCGTGGACAAGGCGTTTGTGTCAGCGACGGTTGTGAACATTTTCAGGTGGTTTATATGTGAAGCATAAAAAGTCTCTTCAGGTTGTGCTCTTGCTTTTCTGTACATACGTCTGTTTTTGTTCTGGCTGGTCCTTGTGGGTTTGTTTGTTTTAATGCCATTACAGCTTCACCTTGAATGCAGCAATCCTCTGATTTACCAGCTTCAGTGAACAAACCATACAGAACTCTGGTTCTGGTGTTTTTCATCTCAGAGCTTTTCAGAAGCAGGGTCAAGGTGCTGCAGCTTGTTAGATCAAATAAAGGTGCTACTTGTAATATTCAGTGTGCCGTCACGTCAACAGATCCAGGAAACGAATGAGACCACTGTGGAGAAAACTGCTTCAACTCAAGTGTTCTCGTCTGGAAGATGTTTTCTCCGTCCACACCGGCTTTCTCTCGCTCTCGTCCTGACACTCAGAACGCTTCAGCTCTCATCGCACTTGAGGATTGTTTCCTCTGTGTCTCCAAAGAAAATCTGAACACACAAATCCTGCAAATGAGGAAATGTTCAGAGTCTGTAATAACAACTTCGGCCTGAACGGCTGAATTTTTTAAATGACAAAGAGACAAAACCAAAATAACAGGTTCAGACTGAAAGCTGAGAAAATGTCCTTAGTTTCACGAGTCATGTACATTTACATTCCTCGATTCTTCTGTCCTCTAATTTGGTTGGAACGTCACAGCCAGACTTTCAGTAATCTGAAAAATAATTAAAAGCAATGATTGGATCCTAAAATTAAATAAATTAACAACGGTGAAAAATCTGTTTAGAAAATTGATGAACTCAACCTGGAAATCGCTGCAGACAGATTCTGTTTGTGTTTCCTGACGATGCTGCCTCCATCTCTTATCAATCCTCCAGTTTCCTCAGCAGTGGTTTCAGATGTTTCCAGTCATGAAATACAGAATCCATGTGAAGCATCCTCTTCATGAATCCTACAAAGCTGCACGAGTTTTTAATTTGTACGTGATAAGAAGCCTTCACCTCTACGCCTTGTCGAGGTTTGTTCATTGCTTTTATAACGCGTCTGCTTCTTTGTCTCCTCCTCTCCCTCTCCTCTCCTCTCCTTCCTCCCTCCCTCCCTCCTCTTCCTCTCTCCCCTTCCCGTGCAGCGGGCACAACAGCCAGCTCCAACGCCGGTGCCATGAACTCTCTGACCTCTCTCGGCACCCTGCAGGGCCTGGCAGGCGCAACCGTGGGCCTGAACAACATTAATGCACTAGCAGGTAGCGTCAACAGTGAGTATTCACCCTCTCATCAGCCACTCCACCCCCACCGACACCTCCACCTGCGACCACACCCCCCCACCTGCAGCGCCATCACCTCCACCTGCGAGTCGATGCAGAGAGACGCACTGTTACAGACACAACACGCCCGTCGCTGGAGTTTGACTCTTATGGATTTTTGAAGGCCACGTCATTTTATTTTGAAATTGAAAAAAACAATTTCTCATATTTAATGAGTTTGTTTTTTTTTTTTTACAAATTTAAAGAGAAGAGAAAGGAGAAATTCAAACTTCACTTAAATCCGTCAAGTCGTCAAACTCTGTCAGTGGCGTATCAAAGTCTCGACAGGAAACTGGACATCAGCTTTGAATTAATGGAGATTTAAATGAGTCAGTTACACATTCAACTCCATATTTTTACCAAGTGGAAGAAAACGTGAGAACGAAAAAAGATAAAATAGAAGAAAAGATATTGGAGAAAAGAAGAAGAGAAACAACAATGTGTAGTTTCCTCCTGTCGTCTCTCTGTTTGACTCGTGAATAAACTGTCCTCACTCTCTCATTGATGCTGCCTCACTCATTCATCTGGACACAGATATTTCATCCATCATCCATCCATCCATCATCCATCCATCCATCCATCTATCTCTCCATCCGCTCCCTGGTTGTGTCCGGGGGTTGTGCTTGCTGTAAGAGTGCTGGTGTGTCGTCCCGGCAGAGTTGCCGTTGTGCTGCTGTCACCTCACGTCACCGTCTGCGTGCGACCGTGTTTAACATCGTGTTGGTTTGTTTGTGTCGTTGTTGTTTGTGTTACTTTCAACGTTTCAATGGGCACAAAAGACAAAACTCAAACTTTATTTTGTTATAAGAGAAATCGTAATATTTGCGTGAATGTTAAAATTTTCATGGGACTCAAAACTTTTATAGGATTCTGATAATATCCCTTAAAAATCCAACAAGAGATTAGTGAAATAAAACACAACACATCAAAATTCAATGGGTTATTTCTTGTCCCGTCCAAGTTTCGTGGCAATCCGTCCCGTAGTATTTTGCATAATCATGCTGACAAACTAACAAACACTAAAAACATTAAATTTGACCTTTGCGCTAGAAAAAAATTTAAATGTCAAAACCTACAGCAGTTGACATTTTCCATTCTCGGTAAATATTATATTTGTTCCTGCCGGAATCTTTGTTCTCGGAACGATGGCAAAGGATAATACTGGGAAACTCAGTGTTTAAAATCCAGTGCAATGACTTTTAAATGTTTTTCAAAGCTGCTCCATCAGTTGCTTTAAAAGTCTGGTCGGAGTGTGTGTGTGTGTGTGTGTGTGTGTGCGTGTGTGTGTGTGTGTGTGTGTGTGTGTGTGTGTGTGT